AATGGAGTTCTGCACTGTGCCCGGCCCTCAATGGGTGTTGGAGATTCAAAATGAGAAAGACGCAGCCCCATCTGAATGTCCGGCTGAGAGAGAGCAATGAGTCAGCAAAGCCAGGAGAGGTAATGGGACCACAGTGAGACCCCAGAAAAGTTCTCTGGAAACCCCAAGGCATGACCTCTTAGTTAATTTTCATGACTTCCACAGGCACACTGTCACATACCAGCAGACACTCAATAAATAGGTTGCCTAAAAAGGAAGAATTTACCCAGTATAGACTTCATCTGGCTCTCTGTGGACTACTGTGTACCATGACCCTGGGCTAACCCCTCCTTCATGACTTACAGAACAGTTGGGGTTCTGAGAAGGGTCTTCTTGGGGTCTGGGCCCGGACAGCCATCTGGTAGGAACAGGCATGTTGAGTGAGTTCTAACTGTGGCACCTGGCCTGTGATTCCCCATTCTGTCCTCTGCCCTTCCAGGTCTAACTCAGCCAGTAGGGACAGAAGTTTTTTTCTGGTTCAGATGTCCTGCTATGAGGCCACCAAGGATGTTCTGTGTTCCATCCTGGGGACAGCATGATGACTTCCCCTCGTTGGGAGTCACTCGCTGGGATGTGGTATCCAGGATGAGAAGGCAGGCCAGCAGGATGGGAGCAGACAGCCTCAACCAACGCTATCTCCCCCCACTCCCCTGCCCCCTTTATAAGAAAGCGGTTCTGTGTGGACAGGACTGGACTAAACCAAGCCTAAGGAAGGATTTCATATCAGGGTTTAATTTTCCTGCATTCTCTATTCCTGCATTCTCTATAAATAGCCATTGACTGATTGCTTGATTTGCAAGACTGTTTAAAATAAAATAGAATGTTTCTTTTAGGCATCCAAATCACTTAGGAGATCATTTCCAACTTGTTTCCAAAGAATCTCTGGACAGGAACAGTCTATTACGGCCTACCCTGTGGCTGTTCCCCCCATGTGGATCTCTCCCTATCTCGCACACACTCTCTGGACACAAAGCTGAGAAAGAGGCAAAGACTCAAGTCTGTTTCACACAAGAACCTAAAATGACTGAGGGTAAGTTCTGCAAAGAACAGTGTGATTTTAGGTGAAACCTGGCTAAACTCTGCCTGTTAGTTTTGGTTGTGTGCCAGTGTTTAAAGTTTAAATATTCTTTGCATTTTTCCCCAACACTGCAGTTAAATTAGAAGCTGGCTTAAAGGACAGATATTTATAGATGCACATGCCTGCTGATGAGGCCTCGCTGCCTGTGAGTTTTTGAGCCACTGGGGAAGGTGTGCTTTATATATAGAGTCTGCATGTTTAATGTTCTTTGAATGATGATTGCAAGGTTCTCAGACAAGACTTGACTTTATTTAGACATTCTATGTCTTCGCAGTTTCCTCTCTGGGCTGACTCTTGGCTCTCTCTCCAGACAGTGTGTGTGTGTGTGGTAAGAAAAAAGCTGTGTGTGGGGGCTTGTGGGAGGGAAAGATCAGGGAAATAGATATTTTTCATATGGGGAGATTGTATTGTTCACACTTGAAATTCCCCCTGGAACAATTTGATTAAATGTACATCTGCATAAAGCTGAGTTATGGCTGCTAGATGAGCCTCCCATGTAAGGGAGACTTGGAGGGGAGTTATGGATCGTATCATCTGTGATTTCTTCTGGCCTGAACACATGGAAACATGCAATAAGCTTGAGCTGGAGCAACCCCATATAACCCAAAGAGTCTCCTGCCTCCAAGAGAGGATTTCAGACAGGAAGCCCTCATCACTAGTAAAGAACAATAGAAACACAGCTGGTTGATTCATGGAGAAGAAAATACTTGAGCTGTCCCCAACAGTGTGCTCCTTGTTTGAAGCTCAGTTCAGGAAGTATTTTGAAGTACCTTCTTCGTGCAGACACCCTCTCTCTATCGGGGGCACTTTGGGGACTTGAAGATGAGTGTGACACAACCCACAGTGAATTTTTTAAGTCCCCGGGGCAGGCAGCCCACCTGCTGTGAGAGCTCTGCAGAGATGCCATCCCCTGAGAAGGTGTCAGGGACTCTACAGAAGATGGGCAGCTCGATGTGGGAGTGCGGAATGGTGGCTGCTCCTTCCTGGTCCCGGTGAGGACAGCCACCTCGTCCTCACTTCTGAAGCAGGGGGCTGGAGCACACAGTCTCCTCCCCATGTGGGGGCCCGGTGTCCCATTTCATGGGTGGGCAAGAGCAGATGCCCCTGAGAAGTGTAGGAGCAGGCTTCAGCTCTGTCCAGCCTTAGCTGCCGCCCTCCCAGCTTCTGGGCTCCTCCGGGTCAGAGGAAACGGATGCACACAGGGGTGTGGGGTTGTGGGTCCCTGGTGGCTTCCTTGACCCAGGCACCACAGCTGGCCTGCTCCAGGGGTGCATTTCTTCCCTGAGGGAGCTCCTGCCACACACACAGGGTCCTGATGGGGGAACCCTCTCCAGCATCTCTCTGGCTTGGCGCCCTTGGCTGTCTCCCTTCTTGGTGAGCCTGCTTTGCAGTTGCATCCACTTGCTCCTGGAAAGACTTGTGCTTGGACCCGCAGGAGACCCCCAGGCAGGTGCTGCATTCAGTCTTCTTTCCTGAAGAACTTTCCAGTCTTCCAGGCCCACATGCCCCATGCTTCGCCAGCAGGGGTGGCAGTGGGATGGTCCCTGGAAGGCAGCACCTCTGCAGACAACTCGACCAGGGGCTCTCTGCGACCCGCACTGTGCTGCACTAAGAACCTGGGGCTGAGGCTGGACCCTTCCTGCCCCTCCAGGGGGAGGACGACCAGGGCTTTGGCCTCTGGGCTCTCCAAAGGGAGCAGGAGCCTTGAGAGAGCTGGTGACAAAGGCTTATGTGCAGTACCAGCATGGGTTGTGTGCCTTCAGGTCTCGGGAGGGTGGGGCCCTTTAGGCTGGCATCTCCAGGGATGCGAGGCTGAACTTGTTCCGGAATTGTAAAAACAGATAATCTATTTTGAAAGAAGCTGCCTTTGATGCATTGTTTGGTGGCACTTCCACACCAAGGGCCAAGATCAGAGTTACCCTTGGCTTTCCCTGCTCCACATACAGGACATGCGAGCTGTTGAAACACTCGATGGAGTTCCTCAACCCAAGGGCAGGCCTGGTGGCTGTTGGAGATGTTGGACCTGAAAGACATTGAGGTCTTCATTCTTCCAGGAGGTCCTTTTGATGTGGGATGTGAACTGTGGTGAACTGGGTGGTGGTCCCCAGATGCCACCAGGTGCCCCATGCAGGGGAGCTCAGCAGGGGTACAGGGGGGCAGAACCTCCTAATTATAAGGACCTTCTCCCAGTGCTAGGTGGAGTGCTCCCCTCTCATCAGAAATGTTCAAGCAGAGTCTGCATGTCTGCCCTGCTCCTCCAGCCCTACCACAAGGAGAGTCCTTGAGAGAGCTCAGAGCCCCAGGGTGGGGTTTGGAAGCTCCTTCATCAGGAGCCTGGCCAAGCTCTTCCATCATTTCTTCTGGAGGCTCCTGAGATTTTGTGGTTCTGTTCCCACCCTCGTGAGGTCAGCTGGGTGGCAGGGTGATGGACCGAGGGCTGGAACTCACACAGCCCTGGGGTTCTCTGGCCCTGGGAAAGGCTTTGATGGCAGCACCTGCTTGGGCCCCAGCCTTGGGCACAGCCCCCAGCCTACAGCGCCCCCAGCATGCAGTCTGTAGGCCCGCCAAGGCTGCTGCAGGTTTGCCATTCATGTATGGCTTTACCAAGGTATAGAAGGGGGTCAGGAAAGGGGACTCTGGCCTCCTATGCCATGTATTTCTATAGTCAGAAATTGCTTGTAATAGTCACAAATCACTTTTGAAATAAAGCAATGCAAAAAATGTTTTCACAGGTCTCACTTGGAACTAGGTGATCCCCATGACAATGCAACTCCCTTAGGCCTGGAGCTGACTCACTAACTTAGTAAGACCCTCTGAATCCTGAAGCATGCTAGCTCATCAAATCACCTGAAACAGGGTGACCTGGAAGGGAGGAATGTGTGACAAGTCAGCAGAGTGTTGGGTTTATGCACAGTGGGTGGTGGGATGGAGGGGAGGGGGACATTTTAGATCAGGGTCTCCGAGGAAACCCAGGGTCATAACATCCCTGGGCTGCAGGGCACTGTAGGAACCTTCTAGCACAGCATTTTCTAGTTGTGCTTCCTAGAGACCCAGGGGTTGTGGGGGTCTTCTTCCATTCCCTCTTCCCACCAGAGCCCCTGCGTTGCTGTGCTTTCTAGGCTGGTCAGGCAAGGGCTCTTGGCTAATGAGCATGAAGCTGCTGGCCCAGCCTACAGGCCTCATGCACAGACAAGGGTCTGGAGTTAGAGGGCAAGTGTTCACAGGCATCATGTCACTATGCAGGCCTGGAGTGGGATTGGGCCTTCCATGCAGCCAGGCCTGGCAGCTGTTGGTGCCAAAGGAGCATACAGTGAGGGGGCAAGTCTTTTCTGAGAAAGATCAGGGGTCCCAGGTTTAAAAGGGCAGCTCAGGTGTGCACGGGGGCATGGCCATGGGAGGCCTGAGGAGCTGAGGACTTCCAGTCCAGGGGTCTGTAGAGGGGCTGAGAGGAAGGCTGGGCCAATATCCCAGACTGGGACTGTCTTTGCCAGCCCCAAACCCTAGGTATGAGTCAGGAAATCCTGAACTCCTGACCTCCTGCAGGAAGAGTGTGTGTGGACATTTCTCTGAGATGAGGTTGTTGGGGAGGTGGGTGGAGTGTGCACACTCTCAAGGGTTAAGCGCCACTGCTGACTTCTGCCTCCTAGAGACCTATGCCCACATTGTCTAGCTTTCTCCAAGCAACTTTAGCTGCCCCTGCACCTCCTTCAGGCTAGGAACAAAAACCACACTCAAGACTCTGCTGCTGGATTGCTCATTTCTTGGGGGGCGGCGGAAGGCCATGCACTTCATCAGCATGTGTGCATGCATGTGTGTGTGTGCCTGAGGGACAGACATTTGTGGGCTGCTGTGACTTGGAGTTGGAGGCACCCGTGTCTCTTACCTCTTCCTTCTTTGTTAATGGACTCAGACCCCTCTGCTCTGTTCTGTTGCTCTGAAACTCCTTTTCTTCTCCTCTGATCTGTGCTGCCTTTCAGGGCACAGCTCCGAGGGTGTGCCAGCAACTTGGGCCAACGGCAACAGCGGAAACTGGGACAGCTCTGGAAAAATGTTTAATTAGCAGAAGCGATCTGTGTGAGCCTCTGAGGCATCAGATTCCATTTTTAACTGGCTGGCCTGGAGCCAAGCCTGATGAATTTTCCTGCAGGACTGTTTCTGATTTTGAAGTGACTAGTTGGTGCTTGGCTCCAACCTGAATGCTGGCCCAGGAAGGTTGATGCATGGCCCACTCAGACCCTGCTTTCTCTTGGTGGGCAGTGCCAAGCACACTTGGTGGGGTCTTGAGGGAAGTGTGGGACACCCGGGGTCATGTTAGCCTGGGTGTGATGCCACACAGACTGGGCTGATCCGGATGTCTCCTTGGGTGAGATGCATTGCTCTGTGAGTGTGAAATGCTAGCTGACAGGAAAGTGATTTCAGGGGAAAATGACTTGGGGGAAGCAGAACCCTATAAGTCACAGGGCCTGTGGTACTTAACGGCTCTGGATCTGGTGTAGTAAAGGAAATGCCAAGGGGATCCTCAGGGCCCCTAAGGGCCCTCAGAAAGAAATTCGACTGGTATCACCCAGGTACATGGGCAAGTGGCTGGTCTCACAGAACCTTCTCAATTTGGCTTTAAGAAAAAGGGGCCCATGAAAACCCCACGGTCCCATAGAATGTCTTCTGGAAAGGGGATAAGACCAAACCTCTCAACCTCAAGGTCTAGGTTTCTGAGGATCTTGGTTCTCCAAGGAATGGCCCAAATTGTTCTCGGATTCTAAAACCATCCTTGTCACTCTAGAATTCTCTTCAGGACTTGGGGCTGTGCCTGTGTCCATCAGATCTTTCTGGGTAAGGGCACTTAGTCACCTTGGAGGGAGGCTTGCCATTGTCTAAGGGGAGCCTTTTACAGAAAACTGCGCACTCTGCAGGAGGCCTGGGTGCAGGCCTTCTGGTCTCCCCTCCAGCACACCCTACTCCCTGCCCCGAGGCTGGCCTGTGTGGGCTCTCCCTTACTTCCTGCTCTCAGCTGGGGCCAGCAATGGGGAGTCCCAGTGGGAGCTCAGAGGGAAGAGAGAGCCGTGCAGGCATTTATTCTGCCTTCCTCCTTGCTGTTTCTGTTAGTCTCCCCGTGTCTCTCACCCAGGGTCACGGCCTCTCAGCCTTCTCTCTCTTCTTCCACTTGATCACCCCTCTTCCCCCACCCCTGTCTCCTCTGGTCTCTGAACCTGCCAGGTTTGGTGCACTGCAGTACCCTGGGGCTCCCTGCAGTCTGGGTATGCCTTTCTAGCCAGCCGCCCTCCTCGGATTATTCTAACAGGAGTTTGCAATTGTTTCTGCTGGGTCTCTTACTGACAAAGCAGGAAAGCCATCTTTCTAGATTTTCTATAAAGTGACTTTTGACAGTCTCATTCTCTGAGGACAAAGCTCCTCAAAGACATGTGCTGGGGAGCAGAGAAATGATGGAAAAGTTAAGAAACAATCCTGGGGCACAGAGCTGTGGTCTTTTATGGAGTTATGGCTCACACTCAGCCAGGCTGGTGCTGTGCAGGGAAATGTGGGTAAGCAGGCTGAGCGATGGGAGCGCTGCGGCCGAATCTCAGGGTGAGGTGGCCCGTACCTAGCTACAAAGGTGTGGATGAGAACAGGGGTGCCCATTTGTCTCATAGAGCCCTCATCGAATGCTGGCAACTAAAGGAATCCCATGTCAGGGACCCAGGCTGGCCACAGGTAGGTGGACGTGGGACCAAAGAGAGAACCTGCTGCTGGATCAGCCAGGGTTCTCCAGGGAAGCAGGCTAATAGGATATGCCGAAAGAGACTGGCTCGTGAAATTGTGGACCAGCTGTCTGCAGGCTGGGGCCTAGGACAACTGCTGGTGTAGTTCCAGTTCAAACCCAAAGGCCTGGGAAACAGGAGCACTGATATCCACGGGCAGGGGAAGTTGGATGTCCAGCCCAAGCAGAGAGAGCAAGGTCCCCCTTCCTCAGTATTGGTCCTATTTGAGCCTTCAGGACTGGATGAGGCCCCACACTGGGGAGGGTTCTGCTTTCCTCCATCTACCCATTCAACTGCTCTTCTCTTCCAGAGACACCTGCACACATACCCAGAATCATGTTTCACCAGCTTTCTGGGCATCTGCCCCATCAAATCAATGCAGAAAACTGACCATCACACCAGGTGGAATAGCTCACGACAGAAAACGACAGAATTTTTAGGGTCATCCTAACAGGCTCCAAGAGCTTTCACCCTTGGCAGGGTCTGCTGGGTTGATGGAGATGCAGGAGAAGGAGCCCAGGAATGGGATGTTGCTTTCAGAGGTTGGGGCCCAGGCCCTCGGGCCCCTCTCCAGTTTCCCAAGGTGTAACCATCCCAGCCTCTTCTCTTTGCTCCCTTGGCCTCAGGGGTGACGCTATAGACACCTCTCTTTACCTATTTAGCTACCAAGTTCGCAATTTCAAACCCATGTGAATATTTGTACTAAATCTTCTCTGTTCAAGTAATGGCTGTGGGCTGTCCTCTCTGTACCCTGACCCTGCCTTTGTGGTCTATGGGAGTGGGTGAATTCACCCTGGCCTGTAGGAGGCTGGCAGGTTGGTGGAGGCAGTGGGAGAGATTACAGGAACCACGGCAAGGGGGCAGAGGAGGTGAGGCAGCTCTGAGGGCAGCTCTACTCACTTCTGCTGCCTGAGAATTTTGGTGGCTTGGAGTAGGCAAGGGCCTGGGTAATGTTGGAAAGAAAAGTCAGGAAACCACTCCTCTCTTGGAGACTCAGAGTCCTAGGCATGCAGGCAGAGTCTGCTGACAAAAAGGTATGCTCCACACTTGGCTGGTTCATGGTGCCTGCTAATAGTCCTGCAAGGAGCCACCTGGCCCAGTGTGGGTCTAACTCCCAGCCCCTCTGCATGGTGCACAGCAGCCTTCCCATGCATGGTGAACAGGGCTGCTTGTCCGCTGGGTCCACCAGGGCCTGTTAGGACCAGTAGAAGAGGCTGTGGGGGTCTGGCCTGCACGAGACACTGAATTACTCCAAGCCCAGCTTGGGCCCCATGCCCTTCCCTGGGTTGTCTCTCTAGAATCCTCAGTACCTACTGCAAACCTCTCCCTGGCCTGTCCCAACCAGTCCTCCAGGGAAGTACCAACCAGTTCTGCTGGCAGTGGCTGCTTTAACTTAAGCTGGGTCCTCCAGAGACCCAGAAACTGCTGGAGAAGTGAGATCTTTGAGGGAATAAGGCTCCCTGTTGCAAGCTGAATTCATACTTTGAAGCCATAATGCTCAGCACTTCTGAAGGGGACTGTATTTGGAGATTAGGTCTTTACAGAGGTGATTAAGTTCAATTGAGGCCCTAACTCAACCTGACTTCTGTCTCTCTAAGAAGAATTTAGGACACAGGGAGCGACCCCACGAGTGTGCGTGCACAGAGTTTGGTTCTCCAAGGAATGGCCCAAATTGTTCTCGGATTCTAAAACCATCCTTGTCACTCTAGAATTCTCTTCAGGACTTGGGGCTGTGCCTGTGTCCATCAGATCTTTCTGGGTAAGGGCACTTAGTCACCTTGGAGGGAGGCTTGCCATTGTCTAAGGGGAGCCTTTTACAGAAAACTGCGCACTCTGCAGGAGGCCTGGGTGCAGGCCTTCTGGTCTCCCCTCCAGCACACCCTACTCCCTGCCCCGAGGCTGGCCTGTGTGGGCTCTCCCTTACTTCCTGCTCTCAGCTGGGGCCAGCAATGGGGAGTCCCAGTGGGAGCTCAGAGGGAAGAGAGAGCCGTGCAGGCATTTATTCTGCCTTCCTCCTTGCTGTTTCTGTTAGTCTCCCCGTGTCTCTCACCCAGGGTCACGGCCTCTCAGCCTTCTCTCTCTTCTTCCATTTGATCACCCCTCTTCCCCCACCCCTGTCTCCTCTGGTCTCTGAACCTGCCAGGTTTGGTGCACTGCAGTACCCTGGGGCTCCCTGCAGTCTGGGTATGCCTTTCTAGCCAGCCGCCCTCCTCGGATTATTCTAACAGGAGTTTGCAATTGTTTCTGCTGGGTCTCTTACTGACAAAGCAGGAAAGCCATCTTTCTAGATTTTCTATAAAGTGACTTTTGACAGTCTCATTCTCTGAGGACAAAGCTCCTCAAAGACATGTGCTGGGGAGCAGAGAAATGATGGAAAAGTTAAGAAACAATCCTGGGGCACAGAGCTGTGGTCTTTTATGGAGTTATGGCTCACACTCAGCCAGGCTGGTGCTGTGCAGGGAAATGTGGGTAAGCAGGCTGAGCGATGGGAGCGCTGCGGCCGAATCTCAGGGTGAGGTGGCCCGTACCTAGCTACAAAGGTGTGGATGAGAACAGGGGTGCCCATTTGTCTCATAGAGCCCTCATCGAATGCTGGCAACTAAAGGAATCCCATGTCAGGGACCCAGGCTGGCCACAGGTAGGTGGACGTGGGACCAAAGAGAGAACCTGCTGCTGGATCAGCCAGGGTTCTCCAGGGAAGCAGGCTAATAGGATATGCCGAAAGAGACTGGCTCGTGAAATTGTGGACCAGCTGTCTGCAGGCTGGGGCCTAGGACAACTGCTGGTGTAGTTCCAGTTCAAACCCAAAGGCCTGGGAAACAGGAGCACTGATATCCACGGGCAGGGGAAGTTGGATGTCCAGCCCAAGCAGAGAGAGCAAGGTCCCCCTTCCTCAGTATTGGTCCTATTTGAGCCTTCAGGACTGGATGAGGCCCCACACTGGGGAGGGTTCTGCTTTCCTCCATCTACCCATTCAACTGCTCTTCTCTTCCAGAGACACCTGCACACATACCCAGAATCATGTTTCACCAGCTTTCTGGGCATCTGCCCCATCAAATCAATGCAGAAAACTGACCATCACACCAGGTGGAATAGCTCACGACAGAAAACGACAGAATTTTTAGGGTCATCCTAACAGGCTCCAAGAGCTTTCACCCTTGGCAGGGTCTGCTGGGTTGATGGAGATGCAGGAGAAGGAGCCCAGGAATGGGATGTTGCTTTCAGAGGTTGGGGCCCAGGCCCTCGGGCCCCTCTCCAGTTTCCCAAGGTGTAACCATCCCAGCCTCTTCTCTTTGCTCCCTTGGCCTCAGGGGTGACGCTATAGACACCTCTCTTTACCTATTTAGCTACCAAGTTCGCAATTTCAAACCCATGTGAATATTTGTACTAAATCTTCTCTGTTCAAGTAATGGCTGTGGGCTGTCCTCTCTGTACCCTGACCCTGCCTTTGTGGTCTATGGGAGTGGGTGAATTCACCCTGGCCTGTAGGAGGCTGGCAGGTTGGTGGAGGCAGTGGGAGAGATTACAGGAACCACGGCAAGGGGGCAGAGGAGGTGAGGCAGCTCTGAGGGCAGCTCTACTCACTTCTGCTGCCTGAGAATTTTGGTGGCTTGGAGTAGGCAAGGGCCTGGGTAATGTTGGAAAGAAAAGTCAGGAAACCACTCCTCTCTTGGAGACTCAGAGTCCTAGGCATGCAGGCAGAGTCTGCTGACAAAAAGGTATGCTCCACACTTGGCTGGTTCATGGTGCCTGCTAATAGTCCTGCAAGGAGCCACCTGGCCCAGTGTGGGTCTAACTCCCAGCCCCTCTGCATGGTGCACAGCAGCCTTCCCATGCATGGTGAACAGGGCTGCTTGTCCGCTGGGTCCACCAGGGCCTGTTAGGACCAGTAGAAGAGGCTGTGGGGGTCTGGCCTGCACGAGACACTGAATTACTCCAAGCCCAGCTTGGGCCCCATGCCCTTCCCTGGGTTGTCTCTCTAGAATCCTCAGTACCTACTGCAAACCTCTCCCTGGCCTGTCCCAACCAGTCCTCCAGGGAAGTACCAACCAGTTCTGCTGGCAGTGGCTGCTTTAACTTAAGCTGGGTCCTCCAGAGACCCAGAAACTGCTGGAGAAGTGAGATCTTTGAGGGAATAAGGCTCCCTGTTGCAAGCTGAATTCATACTTTGAAGCCATAATGCTCAGCACTTCTGAAGGGGACTGTATTTGGAGATTAGGTCTTTACAGAGGTGATTAAGTTCAATTGAGGCCCTAACTCAACCTGACTTCTGTCTCTCTAAGAAGAATTTAGGACACAGGGAGCGACCCCACGAGTGTGCGTGCACAGAGGGACAGCCACGTGAAGGGGAGAGCCACATGAGAGGCTGGCCAGCTGTCAGTCAAGGCAAGAAGTCTCAGAGGAACCCAACCCTGACAGTGCCTTGATCTTGGACTTGCAACCTCCAGAACTGCAAGAAGGTGGTGTCTGTGTCTGTTGTCTGAGCCACCCGAGTACACTAAGCCAGTCCCCATTACTTCCTCCAGCTGATTTGAATCCTGCACTGTTTGGATTTCGCTCTGTATTCGTTTCCTATGGAGGTGGTAACAAATTGCTACAAACTTAGTGGTTTTAAGCAACACAAATGTGTTCCCGCATAGTAATGGAGGTCAGAAGTCTCCAAACAAGGTTTCAGCAGGCTGACTCCTCCTGGGGTCTGCAGGGGAGAATCTGTTTCCTTGCATTATTCTAGGGGCTGCCTGTGTTCCTTAGCTCATGGCCCCTTCCTCAGATTACGCTACCCTCCACGAACTGCTGCTGACTCTGACCCTCCCACTTGCTTCTTGTGCAGAAAAGCCAGCGGTGTGGTGCCAGTCTAGGCCTGAAGGCCTGAGAACCAGGAACTGGATGTCCCTTGTCCAGTGGCCCTGTGGTTACGTTGGGTCCCCTGTGTAATGCAGTGTCATCCCCCATCTTGAGCCTTAAAACTTAATTACATCTGAAGAGTCCCTTTTGCCATGTAAGGTCACATATTCACAGGTTCTGGGATTAGGGTGATGTCATCTTTGGGGGGGTGTTTCCCTGCCAACAACATCAGCCCCTCCACGTGGCTCTGTGAGTTATACCACCTTGCTTATCCTTGGAAGCTGCTGGGAAACCCAGAAGCCGACAGGGAAACAAAAGATAATAGGGTCTCTGGCCTCCCACCCTGGCTACTGCCTTTTCTTGCACTTGGCTTCTACTGTGTGGAGCCCATGAGGAGATTGGGGAGGAGGGGGTACAGCTGGGGACTTGCCCTGGTCTCGTCCTGCTCTGAAAGCCTGCCTGCCTGGCATCAGACATGCTGGAAAACTGGATGGAGCTATTTAGACCCAGAGGCTGGGCTAAGAGCTCTGCCACTGAGTGTAGGTGGCCCTAATAGTAGAGGTTTTGATGGTGCCTGAGAGGAGCTCCTCAGGAGGGGTGAATGAGATGGTTAATTATGGCTCTTCTGTCACTTATCTGCTGTGGGGTGTGGAGGAGTCCCTCTGAGTGAATGGGGTAAGTCCCAAGGCTGGAGGTCACCCTGAGACTGATAGCCCTTCTGTGCCAGAAGGCGCTGCACGCCCATGAGGCTCTGAATGCGAGTGTGAGCAGTGGGGCTGACTCACCCGGGGCTCCGGTGGGAACTGAACTTGCCATCACCCTCAAGGCCATACCCATGTCCCTGCTCCAGAGACAGACCGGATTCCAGGTGTGGCCACTGTGTGCCAGCCTGAGGGATCCATTCAGGGCTGGGAGGAGGCTGGGGGCTCTGCAGGAAGAGTAGGGCCTGGGGCAGGAGTACGGGCCTTGGGTGGGACTCACCAGATCCTTGAGGCCTCAGGCAAAGTTACACAACCTCTGGTCTCCATTTCCTGATCTGGAGGTTGGAGCAGTGGCCACCCCTCTTCGGGTGGTGGTGAGGTCACATGGGCTAATTTAGGTAGGTTCCAGTAAATGAAGCCAGTCCAGGGCTCAGCCTGGCACCTGGTGCGTGGTTCTCAGAAGCGTCAGAACATCAGCCCTCAGGAAGCCGAGCCCCTTGGCACCTGCCCCCACTCAGTGGCTTTTTTCCGTTCCAGTTCCTGCTCTCCTTCCCGCCACCCCCTCCTCAGTCTGCGCAGAGGAGGCCTCTGGAGAGTCTTGCCAAAAGGTTCATTTACCAGGGCGGTCCCAGCCAGGTTCCTGTTTGCCTAAACCAAAGCTTGCAAGCCCTTCAAAGGAACCTAGCAAACCCGGATAGAAAGGTTTGTTTTTGTTCTCATACAGAAGAAGGAGACAGACAGAAAAGTTTGCTGAGTAAGTCAGGCTCCATTAAGTTCATAAAAAGGCCCTTTGTTCCAGCTGAGAGGAGTGAAAAACTAGAACTGGTGGAGGGCGTGGACTTATCTCTTTTCAAACCGTCAGGTGGGACTAGCACCACCCTCTTTTCCTGCCTGAGCCCCTAGCCTGGACCCTCCAGCAATGGGTCGTGTGTTTGATAGCAGAGGACTGGAGAATGACTCAGCCAGAAGACTTGTCTTTAGTCTAACTGGATTTTTATCTTAAAAAGCAACTATACATAGTACTTATTAGGCCACACAGTTCCTGCAGCACTTGCCCAGGCTGTACATCCTTGGGAGCGATGTCCCTAAGGCTCCTGCCTCAGGTCAAACAGCTAGTTCCCACCTGAGCTGGGGCTGGAGGAGGCCAGGTCATTTGGTACTCAGCCTGGACTTAGCACGTTGTCCTACACTGTTATTCCTGACACTGGTGTAGACAAGTTGGCTTGTTCCTAACCCTTTGTTTATAGTAAAAAGAGATGTATATTAAGATTGGTTTGTTCCTATTAAATCATAAATGCCTCCAGGCAGGTCACCAAATGACTGCCCCCTTTTGCAGTTGTGCAACCTGTGAGACTCATTGTGGTGGCCCTGCCTCCAGGTTAATCCAGTGGTATTAATTCATCCCTCCAGTACATGGACTGATGTGCTTGGGGGGAAATCATGCCTTTGTCCTAAACTGGGTGGTTCTAATGTGCATAATTCAGTATAATTGAGCCCAGCTGTGTTGAAAGACACCGGCAAGTAGGCCAGGAAGAAAGGGTCTCCCACCCCTAGACACCTTGCCTGCAGAAGGGGCCCATGTGCTCTCAGTAGGCCCGGCTGGGTGTCTGGGTGCATTGGCTAGGAACCAGCCCTTCAGTGCGCAGATGGGGAGGGTGCGTCTGGGCCTCTGGGATGGAGCCCTCAGGCCCAGGTTTCTGCCTGAGGCAGCTAAAGAAGAAAGGTCAGTTGCAGTTTCTGCCTTGACTCAGAGTTGACGTGTGAGTGTAGGAGCTTTTCTCCCTCTGGCTCCAATTTCTTATCTGTTGAAAAAAAAAGCAGGGCAGGGCCTCGCCTACACCTGTTCTTAAGGACATACTGAGCAAAAAGGGCTGGTTTTGTGAAATAGCTCTGGGGCTAGCTTCGTGTCACCATACTTGGTGTGACATGGTGTGTGGGCACCTCTGGGGACGGCTGGCCTGAGTGCTGAGACACAGTGGTGACTGCAGGGGCTGCACCTGGGAGCATGCCATTCTTTCATGCCACTAAAGAAATACCCTTCCCATCCCAAGTGTTTCTTTTGGAGTGAGACAGCCCTGAGTTAGGATTTTTTAAAAATAGCTTTTTGAGGTGAATTGACATATGAGAAACTGCATGTATATAAAGTGAGCAAGCTGATACATTTTGACATGTGACTACACAAGTGAAACCATCACCCCAAACAAGAGAGTGAACATAACGGTCACTCCCGAGAGTTTCCTCTGCCTCTCCTGCCCCTACATCCAGGCAACCGCTGTCGATGTTAACAAAGATACTTTCCATGTAAGATGTGTTAAGTCCGGAGGAGTGAGCCTGTGTGGTTGAGGAGAGGTTAGGAGGGGTTTTCTGGTGGATCGAGCATGGGACAAGCATTCAAAGGCATGGTAGGGGCAAAGGCTTTTATCCCTAAGTGACCTTTGGTCTTTGCCAGTGGAAAGAGCACCGGCAGGCCCAGGTTGGAACCCTGTCTGTGCCGCTCTGCTGTGTGATCTTGGGCAAGTCTCTAACCTCCATCAGCCTCAGTTTTCCTATTTGGGAAATGAGGATAATGATAGCCCCTCCTAGGTTTGTTATGAAAACGAAATGAGTCTGCGCAAAGTACCCAGCATATGGTAGGCACTCAAAAAGTGGGGCTGCTGTACCTGTACTGGTTGTGAACTGCAGAGATGTCTACCAGAAGCATGTGCTCTCAACCCCCACAGGGCTTGGTGTCATCCTATATTTACTACTTGACTAGAGTACAGCTGAGGGGCCAAGAAGTGAACCACCCACTGTGCCTAGAGCTGATGTTTATTCAGTACTAACTGTTCATGCTGCTCTTCCCACCTAGCATTTCATCTTCCCTTTTCTGAACCCATCATTCAAGGATTCACCACCTCCAGGAAGCCTCCCCTGATCAGGAATCTAGAATTCAAGTTGCTTTCCTTCTTAGACCCCTAATATTATTTGAGTTGTCACCATACAATCTCACAATCAAGAGTGCAGTGTTCTGCACTGTTTTCTGTGTTGTACATCTCTATTTTGATTCCCATTTTGAGTACTAGTTTCTTAAAGTCTGGAATTTTGTCTCATGCTTCTTTGTGCCTTACAGCCTCATTCTTAGGACAGAGTTAAATGAGGGTAGGAGTTCACCAAATAGGTGAGCAGTACTTTAGCTGGACACTGCAGAAAGTATCAGGGCCAGTCCTCACAGCCATCCCACACATACAGAATATTCCCAATGACAGAGGTAAGTGTGAGGATGTATCTTAGTCAGCCAGCTGCTCTGACAGAACTCCACAGATGGGGCAGCTTATAAACAACAGACACTGATTCCTCACAGTCCTGGAAGCTGGAAATGCAAGATCAAGATGTCAGCAGATTTCAGACACTTCACAGACAGTGTCCTCACTGTGTCCTCACATGGAGGAAAGAGCAAGGGGCCTCTCTGGGGTCTCCTCTATAGGGACACTGATCCCATGATGGGGGCTCCATGCTCATGTCCTCATCACCTCCCAGAGATCCTGCTTCCTGACACCATCACATTGGGGATTAGGGTTCCCACATATGGGTCTGGGAGGACACACTTGGTCCATAACAGTCCATGTATGGTGACAACAGGGCTGCTGGTCATGCTAATCTGTCTCCCTGATGAGCAAAGGGCTTCAGCATGTGCCCCCAGGATGCCCACACTTGAAGGTGGCCCTCACCACCTGCAGCATTGCAAATAAGGCCCTTGGGTGGGTTAGCCACAGACACCATCAGGCGGCCAGCCCTCTCCTGCTAGGGTTCTGGCCAGGCATTGGGCAGGCACTGTAGGCTAGGAAGAGTGCCTTTCAGCTCCAGCACACTGGGCCCCCAGGCGTAGAACCGAGATGGCTTTTCATCAGCTCTCCATCACTGACTGGTCAGCCTGTGGTCTGACCCAGGGCACCCCCTGGGGGCTGTCATCTCTGTCCCACACACACATAGAGTGTTGCCTGCCAGACTGGGCTCCTTGTAGCTGCCCACCCCGTGAAGTCCTCCTCAGCTGACCCCGTATGCTCTCCGGACCCTGTCTGTCCAGCTCTTTGATACCTGCTTTTGGAGTGACTCATCACCAGCGCTTCCTGTTAACAGCACACTCCTGGAGGAGGCCCAGGCCCTCCTTGGCTCAACATGTTTTGAAATGAACTGGAAGGGGAAACCCATTATGCAAAGGGCTTTGCAGGGGAAGAGGGAAGAAGGAGAAGGAGCCAGAATGAGCACAAGGCGAGCCAAACCACGAGCCCGGGTGACTGCTCAGTAGGTTGGCTGATGCGCCTCCTGCTCTGCTCTGCAGGGACCAGACCCCCTGCCCACTTGCTCACTCACCCCTCCTTCCCTACTTATTCACCCACCACCCTCCCAGGAGCCTTCCTGACCCAGGGCAAGATCCTCACTGGAGGGCCCTTTGCATCATGGGCTGGCATGATGGGCAAGTGGTGTTCCAGGACACACCCTGATGCCTTTAGGAAATGAGGAGAGCAAGGCCTGGCTGTGGGCCCCACCGTGCCGCCTACTAGCTTTATGGACAAGTTACCCGAACTCATGGGATCTCAGTTCTACATCATTAAAGTGGGTGTGATGCCCACCTTCATGATCTCTGTGAGGACTAAAGCTGACTTAGGTGAAGTGCCTGAAACATACGTGATACTTATTACCTAATAACTAATCTCACTTAATTAAAGTCTTCTCTCAGATAAGCTCTCTGGGTCTTGTACTATAAAAAGAAACTGAGTTAGCATTCGGGCCTTTGGTGGACATGTGTGGCTCCCTTGGCACAGTGTGTCTATTGAACCTGGTCTGTCCTGGGATCCGCCATCCCCCGATCCTGACTTGGAGTTTGTATACATGTCTTATCCGATGTCCTCCCTCAGCAGGCCCAGGCCAGATGTGCAGCAGCCTCAGGGAGGCCAGTCCCCGGAAGGCCTCTGTGGCCCCTCTCACCACCTGAAGGCAGGTGCCATCCCCAAGGCCATGGGACAGACAGATGGTTGCCTGGGTGGAGATCTGGATCACTGGGTGCCTCCTGGGGGCAGCATGGTTGGCCAGGGAGCAGACCCCGGGAGGGCCCCCCTTGGGCTCTTAGCACACGGATTGCTGGCTGGCCACAGAGGAAGCCCTGAGCTCATGGGGAGACTCAGAAAAGAAATCTGCACCAGCTGGGGCTGCAGGGCACAGCCCCCTGGTTATAATTTCTAGAGGACACCTTTCACTCCAAGGAAGGGAAGGCTTTTCCATGGGTAACAAGTACTTCCTAGTCAGGGGCATCCCCTGCCCCCTACCCTCTCTGATCCTGCCTACCCAGCCTCTGATGCCAGAGGGGATGTTCAGCTTAAAGACACAGTGAAATCATGCTGTGCAATCACATCACAGTAGAGTAAGGAAGATTGCTTGTCTTCAGCTTCTGTCAAAGCAGACGTGTCTGGACTAACCCCCCACTGACCCCCCTAATGACCCCCAACTGCCAAGTCCTGCCCCAAATCTCTTTACTCAGTGGACAGACCAGTTAAGCAG